TACACACACATATACATACACATACATATACATACATATACATATATACATATACATATATATATATATACATATATACACATGTACATATACACATACATACATATACACATATATACATATACACATACATACATATACACACACACACACACACACATATATATATATATATATATATATATATATATATATGTATATATATATATATATAGTGCAAATTATAATATTGTGATGTACTGGCATATCTATCATCATACTATCATCATCATCAATTTTGATTTTGTGAAATAGTTCAAGAATGGAAACGGAAGAGCCAACTGATATCTCTGGTGAAAATGTTAATTGTTCATGGACGAATCAATATTCAAACACAAGTATTGCAGGTAACATAATCAGCCTATTTATAGAATTTCTACACCGGAAAGGGGACAGAAGAATGAGTGGCAGATCCAGGGGAAGGGGAATAGCAAGCTGACTTTGGCCCCCTCTTAATTTTTCAAAATTATAAATACCTCAGCCTAAACTATGGTGGTGCTGAGGTGGTCTAGACTCTCCATCTGTGATAGCCCCTTCCTGGGCCCCCTCTATTTTCAATTCCTAGATCTGCCACTAAAAGAATGTTGTGTTTAAAAAATATAGTTATTTTTTAGGATTAGATATCAACTTCAATTAAATCTGTTAAATGTTTCCACTACATCAATTATAATGTCTACTTTCAGATTTATGGTTCGCAGACCAAGTTGCATTTTGGAGTTTTGTACGAAATGTAATTGTTGTCGTTTTCGGAAGCATTGCGTTCATTGGCAATGTTTTCACATTCATCGTTGCATTAGCTACGGAAAAAATACGTAAGAAATTCAGTAATTACCAGATAATAAACCTCGCAATGAAGGACGCCATAGTGGGGGGATCATACGTTTGTATATGTGTAACGGCTTTCCAAAAATTAAATATTATTATTATTTTTTCCATAATATTGAATTTGATGTGTGTTTCATCATCACTCACTATTATCATGATAGCAATGGAACGTTGTTTTGCTATTGTTGCTCCATTTCAGCATAGTCGGTACGTAACAACAAAAATATTGACCATTGTAATAGTCTTGGATTGGTTTGTAACCATAAGTTTATTAGTTATTACAATTCAAATTACAAACGTGCTTAATGGACTATATGTTGTTGCCAGATATGTAATAATATGCGCTCCAGTTTTAACCTTTATCGTATATCTTGTGATTATTTTAGCTGTGAGGCGACATGCTTCAAAGATTAATCAATCAGTCCGAATATCTCACAGAAAGAAAAGTAAGCAAAATGTTGAAATAATAAAAACTTTCACATTGGTTGCTGGAATATTCATCATATGCTATTTTCCGTATGGTGTAGTGAACATTTTTGTAAACAACAGAGGGTTTTCATTAGACCTATTAAGGACTATTTATATTCTTAATACGCTTATCCCATTGAATTCAGCAGCTAACATGTTTATCTACTGGTGGCGGATTCCAGAATTTCGAATGGCTTACATGCGGGCGCTGTGTTGTCACAGAAATACAGGTATTCCACGCTTAGACACACCAAAGAGAAGTATTTTCTCTATGGACACACACATGAGTCTGATACAATAGAAAATACATTTTCATTTCAGTCACAAAAGAATTAATGAAGGATGCGGTTTAACTGTTGTAGGCTATATTTATATATTGTGTATATTTATATTCGTTCTGTAGGATATTAGGATATGTAGTGCATGTGCTAATTGAATATCACACACAGTAAATTACTACACTTGTTAACACATTAGTATATGGAATGTGAAACCAATTTTAATAATATTTTATATTGATTGGGAAGACATGAAAAAAAATTATAAAGATGGAAGTGGTAGTAGGCCTAGTTTAAATTCACAATTAAGGTGCGGGTGATTTATAAAAAGACAAAAAACTAATGCAGAAAAGACACACCACTGCAATTAACTATTCTTTTGCAAGTATCACTTGTAGTTTACAGTATATAAGATAATACCAACACAGCATTGCAGTGTTAATTAAGAAATTACATTAAATATAAAAACAGTAGTTCTACAAAAAAGTGATAAAACAAATATCATTAATATATTGTAAATATAAATTTTTAATGGGTAGTTACATGGTTAAAATCAATTTCATAAACTTTGTTCTTACTTAGTCCTAATATAGAATTGTCATATTTATTTATAGACTTTTCAATAATTTATTCCGATCCTATATTGTACTGCAATATTATTTAATAACTAATTTTATATAGTAACTGAAATTGTAATGCTATATACCATCACGTACAAATTACTATTGGGACAAAATTGTGGCGTAAAGCAATTTGCGTTATTTCACAAGGTTTTTTTTTTTTTTATCAATAACTAAATTAATCATTCAATAAACTTAAGTAATCTAAATAGCAGTTTTAATCATCCCAAGGTGTATGTTGGTTCCGTGATGTTTTTTTTCCTTCTCCAAAACATTTTGATTATATGCATTCATCTTGTAAATTTTGTGAAGTTGTTTTGTATATTCTTTATTATTCTGCTTTAATACCAGTTTGATATTTTCAATTGAAACATGTTTAATATATTTTGCTATATCTCAAAGTTCTGACTTTTTATGAATGTATATTAAGCTTTGTATGGGGCACGACTTTTTCTGGGAACGTTCCTATGTAGTAAGAAAGAGTACCAATAAATTATATCGTATACATGAATGTTTTTTAATTCCATGTGCGTTTTTGGAGTCGCGTTCTCTGTTGTAGAAGGGTACAAATAAATTGTATACACAAATGTGTTTGTCGTCCTTATGTGCACAGCGGAAGGAAATCTGACATTATTATGTTGTTAAGGAAGATATAACAATACTTTGGCTACATAATGGTGAAGGTGATGATGATGATGATGATGATGAGAATGTTGATAAGAATGAGAATGATACCTCGCTTTTAATAATTTTCTATGTAACTTCCATGTAGATACGGCAACATTTGGACTTATTGATAATCCAATCGATCACAGAATATCCTCTATATCCGACGGAAGAATTTTGCAAGTTGTCCGACCATAGTAAGAGCGGGGTTGGCGCTAAATAATTTGGTTGTTAAATTTACCGGCTAGCCTGGATACGGATACAGGGTTTTGTGGGGTCTGATAGATCCCCCAGGCCCCGCTATCTTCGTTAGGTGAGGCGTAGATATTTTGGAAATATGGCATCTCTGGATGTCCGGAAATAGCAGCTGACAAACCTGTAGAGTTTCTACCCCTCCTTATCCCATTGGCACACACAATATTTAAAAAGCTAATACAAATACAAATACTCTTTATTTTCTGATATCATCGTTTTGCCGACAGAACTCATGCTAGATAAAAAAAATCAATTATAGGCCTATACACTAAAACTATAAAAGTACAATTAAAACAGTAAATATCCATAGGCTGCCAAAATACCGTCTTTATCTCGCATCTTTTCACATTTTAATTAAAAATGTAACAGGATTTTAATATGCACTAAACGACAGTCTTGTGCGTACGTTACTGTTAGCAATTCAACAGATAAAGCTAAGCTGATATTTCTTTTAAATTTTAAAAATATAAATCAAAATCAAAGCAACACATGTGATAGGCCTATTTTGCTTCTGATATTAGTTGGCCAAAGTGTTCTTAATTCATTAGAAAGAGCAAACAATCTACCATATGTATTATATTTTATATATTCATGGTGTTCATTAACATAAATATATAAAATTAATTTGAGTGAAATCACCTTTCCTAAACCAACTAAGTGGTTATCATTAAACTATTCATAATACTGTAGAATTTAATAATGCTTCAACTATTAATGTCTGAAATAATTGCTCCAACCCGTTAGTTGACTACATATAGTGTTGCTGACTACACAATCAGAGTTTTGATGAATAACATAATAAAGAGTGTTGCTGACTACACAATCAGAGTTGCTGTAGTAATTCCCCCTCCCCATTCTACCCCCTCCCTGGTCGGAGAGAAAAAGCACAATTCGTCAGGGAGATTTTCTACATATTAGTAGACTCTAAAATTGATTAAATAAGCCTTTGAAACCCCTAAATTGTGAGCTTATCCCCCTGGACCACTTTTGGAACCTTGTAATCGAAGCTCGAACACGCCCACTTTGCTTTCGACCCCTCGTCGGTGGCATCCCCCTGTCGGAGACCTCGGCTCCCCCTTCGGGAAAATCCAGGCACCACCCCTGGTTTTCTCTTTCCACCCAGGAGTAACAAGTAGGTACCTGGTAAGTTCATACACAACTATGCGCTGATTACAGCTGCAACATTATGGAATTCTCCGAAGGAACCTGAGTATGTGTTCCATGTACTTAATCAAATGACAGGGGGTATGCAAAGCGAATAGTATACAAATATTGAGTGCTCATGAGGGAAATGTTGAAATCTATTGTTTCTACAATATGCAATTGTAAAAGTTGACAATAAATTTCAAAATAACCCACTTCAATAATAAATTGGATATATTCACCTCATTATTTACTTACCATATCATTAATTAATTAACATCTTAAAGCACAAACAGACAATCTTTGTGTACTGTTTTATCTTTCTGTAATTTTGTATTATACAGTTATTTTTGGGTTTGCATATCATTGATATTACTGTCCTCTATAATCTTGCTAAACCTATGAACAGAAAGAAGGAGTAAAATAAATTCAAACTTGATGTATATAACTTACAGAGGACTTCTAACAAAATACTACAATGTCGAATCTGGAATGCAGGCAACTGGAGAAGCTCGCGCAAAAAGCAATAGATAGTCAATTTTTTTTAAATTGTAAAACCTTGTGTTTTCCCGAAATTCATTTCATTCAAAATAACAATAAGAAAAAAAGTAATAATAAAAAAACTAAATAATAACTTTCATGAGAAATCAAAATTGTGGTTTGATTTATATAATAATAATGTGGACCCATTTTCTTAAAAGTGGAACCGTTTTATGCAAAAATATGAAAAATATGTACCCATTTTCTTAAAAGTTGACAGGATCCATTTTTTGCTAAAATTTCTCATAATCTTTTATCAGGGATCTACTTAATATCCAAGACAACTAAGGCCTAACTATAGCTTACTAAACTTTAACTGTACTATACAGTATAATAATTGTGATCAACAAATCACAACTTACTTTTTGGCCTTTAGCGCAATTTTCTTTGCTTTTTAATATTATTAAAAACGTCTATTATCACCACCACAGTCATCATGATCATTGTCATTATCATCATAATTATTATTATTATTACTAGGGCCTACTAGTAGTACTGTAGTATTAAAACAAAACTTTATAGAGCTTGCAAAACGATAAAAACCAAACTGAACCATAAAATATCACATTTCTGTATCTGTGAAAGGTTTAGGACTTACGGATTTAAGATTTTTTTATTTGTTATTATAGTAGGGATATGTATAACGTTTGCTGATGCATATTTACATAGATTAGAAGTTTTGAGTGATCCTTGGAAAGAATTTGTATCTAGCAAGAACAAGCTTTAACATTTTAACACTGGGGAGAGCCCTGGGTCCAACTTAAAAACGGGCGATGATCGTTTGTTGGAAATCTCCTCTAGTTTTAAATGTACAAAATTTCCTGCACGTCCGTTCAAAACTGCCGACGCTGGACGCTTTTAAAGCTTTAAACCCCTGTTTTGTTTTGTAGGTTTTAGGGGAACCCATGGGATCCAACTTAAAAAAAGGCGATGAACGTTTGTTGGAAATCATCTCTAGTTTTATGCGTACAAATTTTCCTGCACGTCCGTTCAAAACCGGCGACGCTGGACGCTTTTAAAGTTTGGAACCCCTGTTTTGTTTTGTAGCCGGTATATGGAACCCTGGACCCAACTTTAAAAAAAAGGGGCGATGAACGTTTGTTAGAACCCTCAACGTACAGAATACACAGTACGTCCCCATATACAAGCCAATAATAAAATTTTAAAAATAATTGGTTGGGGTGCGAATTGAACCCACGAAATATCACCCAGGAAATATCATAGAAGTGATTATTTGCCCTACCTGCTCAGTGCTTTCCTAAAACTCTTCTTTACCCGTATTGTATACTTCACACCTTGCACCTCCCCAAGGGTGAATAATGGTCATAACACATTAAATACTAAATTTACCATCTAGTTGCATATTCATTATACATGAATTTAATCTTTTTAATGTATTTTATAATATGTAATATAAAAATTATTGCTTCTCTTTTTATAAAAATAATTGCTCATTATTGAAATTTTGATGTAGAAATCTTTGGAATTTTACGCGAACGTTTCAATGGAAAACAATACAAAGGTTATCAGTCCACAGAAGGACGTTGATAAAATGACGGTTGTTGGAACAAAGGCAAAAAAAAAATGAATCTGGGCTTCTTAATCTTGAAGTACATTCTCGTGGAGTTAAATCTACGATACGGTGGATTACTGGAGAAAAATTCATTAAACGTAAAAGATGTGAATGAACTACAAGAAGATATTTGCGTTGGAAATGCCCATGTCAACGAAACCATGGCACATTATTGTGAGATTTATGTACAACAGAGGCTAACTGTCCTAAAGAAAGCAAAATCACTAAAGGATAAATCGTACGGTTTCTGTGTTTGAAGATCTTCGACGGGCAGATGGGATTTGAAGGAAGTAATGTCGAATGCATTCGAGTAAGGCAGACCAGGGAACAGTGAAATTTCACCAGAACATCTAATCATATATTTTTTTTTTTGTATAATTTTTATTTCGTGAATTTCTTTGCTTCCAGCTTTACTAACTTTTGCTATTACAGTATTTGAATTAATGATACTTATCTATACCCCTTCCATTTCATAATTTTGATGTGAAATATATAACAGCGAGATTTCTAATACTACCTTCAATCTTTTTAATAATCTGATAAAATAAAATGACAAGTATGATGAATCTTTAGGACAACTAATTAGTAACTCACAATCTAATACTTTAGATAAATGTAAATATTTTGATTTTACACTTTTTATTTCAAAATTAAATGCTCTCCTTTTCCTCTAAATTGTATTTCCTTCCGTCCTTAGATATGAGAAGTACTGTATTACTCATCATCATACTATGGACTCATCATCGTTTGATATCCTTCGCTAACGATACTACAATATTTTCTTCATCATCCTCACATAATTTGAAATCATTATTTTCCATTTTTACTAACGAATTGTTCAAATTTTCTGACTGGGTCTTCTCAAATAAATTTCTTACCAATACACTTAAAACCAATTATTCAGTATTTCATATGCCACAACGAAAACTCAGTGGGGGTGCCAGAAGGTGGGCTGGGGCGCTATAGCCCTCCGTCGGGGAAGCATAACCTACCCCCCCCCCCTCGGGGAAGACGAGTAAATTTTGTCGGG